TTTTTAAAATTATTGTGATTTTGGTTAATGTTTACAGAACAAAACAGACTTCTATTCAACAGATTGTACACATTATGTTTCATTCCATTAATTGCAATCCCTACCAAATACCAGCACTCATCCAGTCTCTCCCTTGTGTTTCCCATTTCCATTCTTCACTCTCTCCTATCCATTCCTGGCTTGTGAACTTAGTGGATAAAAGCTTCTTTGAATTGATTGTTTTAAGAAGGGAGTGCTCTCCTAATGATACTGCTCACTTTATAAACTTATCTATTGTTTGGTCGTCTAGTAGTGAGGAGTTGCACTGACAACCCAAAGGCTTTCAAATCTACAAGACAGTCCACAAGAGAAAGATGGATGGTTTCCTCCTGTGAGATTTACAGCTTCTGAAAATCCATTGGAGGGTCACCTGTGAGTTGGTTCTGGCTCAATGACATGTAACAACAACAACAACATTGGTTGTTAATTGAACCATAGGGGTTCCAGGTTTGGAAAAAATATATATTTATGGGTTGTACTTGATACGTCTAACAACAACATCTGCCTATAGATCTATCCATATCTCACTTGTTGCACAATTTGATGAGGGTGTGAGATGTGACGGAAATGGGAAGAATCCAGTGGGAAAAACAATATATTTGAACTTTGTAAATAAACCAGTACAAAATAAAAAAAAGACTAAAAAAGTAAAAAACAAACCCCAATATTCATTGCAATATTAAATGCAATAGTCACTAATATCTATCACAAGATCAAGAGTATCTTAAAAGATGATTGTATAAATAAAAATTTGCCTATTCATGTGTTGTTGTTAAGTGTCATTGAGTCATAGATGACTCATAGCGACCCTATGAAGCTAAGTCGTCAATACTTGTGTGACTTTCATCCTTTCTGCAGGTTCATAAGGTTTCTGAAGGCAAGCTATTTATGGAAGGTGGATGCCACTCCTGCCCCATCAAACAGTGTCCACCATGGGTAACCATTATCACATTTGATACATCAGTGTCACCAGTGTTCAGCTTCACAGCAACCACAAGTTAACTCTGTACAGCAAGTAAACACACCAGGGCTATATGACCTGGAAGAATGTTTGGCCAAAACCAATTGAAAACAGGCCTGAGGGCCATGGATTAGAGTCACTCACCTTTGGCTTGTTAGCATCACTTTCTATCCACTAGGCCAACTGGTCTCTCTCTATGTTGTTAAGTGCCATTGAGTTGTAGATAACTCATAGTGACCCTATGAATGAGAGTCCTCAACACTTGCAGTAGAAAAAAATTATTGAAAATACAGAGCAAACCATAAGCCAATTCTGCAATTTTTACATGTATAGTTCAGAGTTATTGGTTACATTTTTTCTTTTTTGTTAACTTTCTTTTGTTGATTATTGATTTGCACACAATCATTCATGCACTCTTTTTTTTTTATTATTAGTTTTAATGAAAGTTTACAGAGACTTTGGATTTCCATTCATTCATTGTTGTACTTTTCTCTCTGCCCACCCCACCCTTCCAGTTTGCTCTTCTCTTTGAAAAGTAAAAAAAAAAAAATTCTTTCATTGTTACACAATCCCTCCTCCCAAGTCCACTCCATTATGAAACCTTCATTCTAGACTCCTGTCATGACAATAACACCTAATCATATATCTCTTCTTTTTTTTTAAAAATTAAATTTTATACTGGTTTAATTACAGAGTTCATATACATTATTTTCCCCACTGGATCTTTCCAATTTCCTTAAACTCGCCCCTCCCTCTACCCATCAAACTGTATGACCCTATGATTACCTCCTCCTCCCTGCCCATCCTTGCCCCTCTACCTCTCCCCTCCCCCCTTAGATCCTCATACACATTTTACTAGTTATCTATTTCTACAGTAATGGTCTTATATAGTATTTGTCCTAATGGGACTGTTAGTTCACTTAATATAAAGTTCTCCAGGCCCTCTCAAGTTAGGCAGTGATTCACAAAATCATTGCTCCTGCATACTGCATATTATTCCACCATGTGAATGTATCATAACAGTGGTTGGACATTTGGACTCTTCCATGTTCTTGTGATGGTGAATAATGCTGTTATGAATATTGGTGTACAAGGCTCCATTTGTACCTCAGTTCTCATTTTCTTGGGTCTATTCCAAGCAATGGAATAGCTGGGTCATATGGAATTTCTATGTTCAGCTTTTTGAGGAAATGCCAAACTGTCTTCCGGAGTGGTTGTATCATTGTACAATCCCACCAACAGTGTGTAAGAGTTTCTGTCTCACTGTATTGTCTCCATTTATTACTTGCTGTCCTGTTAAACTTTGCCACTGCAACTCAAGTGAGATGGTATCTCATTGTGGTTTGGATTTGCATCTCTCTTATTGCCAGTGATTTTGAACATTTCTTTATGTGTCTGTTTGCCATCTGAATATCTTACTTTTTGAAAAGTTTTTCCATTTTTTTTCCCATTTTATAATTGTGTTATCAGTCTTTTTCTTCTGGAGGCCTTGTAGGATTCTGAAAACTTTTGAATGAGACCCTTGTTTAAAATGGTATTGCCAAATGTTTTCCCCCCCCCCTATCAATAAGTTTTACTTTCACTCTGCTCAGTCATTCATTCTCAAACATTGTGTTTCAGACAACAATTCATATTCATTATGCTTTATAGAAATAATTACTACTGATCATTTATTGTATTTTTTAAGATGTACAGCTATCCTCACCATTCTTTTTGAAATTATTCTCCACTGTTACTATAAACTCACTGACACTCAGACTTCCTATCTAATTTTTTCCCCCTCAGTATTCTTCCTATGAAATCCTCTGCTACTATACTTGTCCAAAGTTGATGTGTTTTATTGGCAACTAAGAATCTTACTGAAATCACTGAAGTATAGACTATCATCAGAAAAGGATGGACAACCAGGAAGATTCTCTGGCTGAACACTTCTCTGTGTCTTTGCTTCTTTAGCTCCTCTCTGCAGTCCTTCTCTGCTCCTCAGTCCATGGGCACTCAGTGGAACAGTCAGGCAGGATAGTGTTGGATTTATATACCCCAGTCAAGACACATATGAATATCTAGTGGCTGTCCAATATTCTGGCTCAATAATCTATGAGAAAGGTTTGTAAATGCAGTATAAACATAGTCACATGGGGCCCACAATCCTGTAACTCTGTGGACCAGGGGGTTCCACTCTGAGAAAATGCTAAAGCTTATAAATTGGAAAGATACCTGAATCAGGTCTAAAGCTCATGCTCTATAACATACTGGGCTCTCCTTAAGACCACTGCTTTAGACTATCCTTTCATCTCAAATGGTTTTATGGACTAAGTCCAGCTTTGATATGCTTCCAACATTCCCATTTGCAAAATCAAGAAGGTAGATGCCAATAATTGTCTCTAAAGGTGACCACATAAAATATGGGAATTACACCTGTGAGACCTCTTATTCTTCACTTATCTTGTTATCAAACATTTCACATTTATGACAACAGTGAAAAAATTCCTTATTTTTCACATTAATGTAATACATCTGGTAGTAATACACAGCAAAGTGGCAAGTAAACGTAATATTGTATATGATGTCAGTGTTATGTGTCAACTTGGCTAGACTATGCTTTGCTGTGGTTTGTCAGTTACCTAATCATGTTCCAAACAGAAAACAAGAAGAAAAGATTTAGGATATTGAATGTCCACCTCTATCAAAACAGAAGTAGGGGGAAAAGATGAAGAAGCCTGGAGTCCTGGCATTTGTTACTACCAATATGGCTCCACATCGAATATCTTCAAATTTTAATCCAAAAGTTACATCTAAATCATACATAATCTTTGTTATCATTATTTGGTCCAAAGGGGCCAAAATATAGATGGGGCAATTACTCTCTTCTTGTCTCTAATGAGGCTCTTAGGGAATCTAGTCCCACTGGTCATAGGTACTTCAATAAATGCTTGCTCTGTGCATACCTTGAACACCCTTCTTCACCCGGACTGAGTCTATGTACTCTTGATCTTCATTTCTGTTCACCAACAACCCTTAATGACAAGTCCTTATACTTTCAACCAGTAACATCTCTCCGGAACAGAAAAAACTAAGTGGGTCTCAGACTCTTGGGAAAAGTGGGATAGCAATTCTTTTGAGGTAAGTGGAGACTTCATCCTTCATCAATAACAGCTTGCAGGGCAGGAAAGCTTTAAATAGGGTGGTGGTGAGGTGTCCAAGAAAGTCACTGTTAAAAAACAATCAGCTTTCACATCACCCAGGATTGACCATTACATATTCTGTCTCTATATAAGCATTATTGACTGGATTTCTGCCTAAACTTTTGGGTCATTTGCATTTTGATTTTATGAGTTAGACTTAACAAGCTCAGTGAACCTTTGACTCAGACCTCTATAAATCTTCTGTAAAAGTGAGCCTTGAAAGAAGGAACAACAGCAGTAAGGTTATCATAATATTAGAGGCAGTGATTGATAATGACTAATATTCTCTGAGCATATGTGTTAAGGATGTGTACCATGTCCAAGGTAAGGATGTGGAAATTGAAACAGAGAAGTTGTTTCCTCTAAGGTAACATCACTGATGACACCAGTTGTCTGTGTTAAATACTATCTTTCAGGGTCTGTTGTAACCATTGTACTGATGCCTTGTCCTTACTCAATACAAGTCTTAAAATTAATACTTTGTTTACTTTGTTTTAAATAATACACTTTTAAAAAGTTTGTGATAATTACAGAAAGTTTAAACAATACAAACATATCTACAGACAAAACTACTGTCACCATCTTTCCAGGGGTAATAGGTATGCCTGAGTGTTTGCTTTGATTTTGCTAATGAAGATATTAGGAGCTCCATAAAAAGTTCCAGTAACTATCTGAAAGCCCCAGGGAGCAGATTCCAGATGACTTACCTCTGCCACACGGAGATTTGTGATCTTTCTGACTGTTCACTTTAACCATCTTTTTCCAGATTTTAACATTTACCCCATCTTATCTGTATATGGACTCATATCTCCACGTCCATGAGAGGGGCAAACCGGTCGAGTGTCTCCGAATTCCTCCTGCTGGGGCTCTCCACTCAGCCCCAACAGCAGCAGCTCCTCTTTGTGCTCTTCCTGAGCATGTACCTGGCCACCGTCCTGGGAAACCTGCTCATCATCCTGGCCATCAGTGCAGATTCGTGTCTGCACACCCCCATGTACTTCTTCCTCAGCAACCTGTCCTTTGTGGATGTCTGCTTCTCCTCTACTGCAGTACCTAAGATGCTGATCAATCACATACTGGGGAATGAGAGTATCTCCTTCTTTGGATGTCTCACTCAGCTGTATCTACTCATTGTGTTTGCGTACATGGACAATTTCCTCCTGGCTGTGATGGCCTATGACCGCTTTGTTGCTGTATGTCATCCCTTACACTACACAACAAAGATGACTCATCAGCTCTCTGCCTTGCTGGTGTGTGGTTCATGGGTCATTGCTAATCTGCATGCTTTGTTGCACACACTACTGATGGCTCGGCTCTCTTTCTGTGCAGACAAAACGATCTCCCACTTCTTCTGTGATGTGGTCCCTCTCCTCAAACTCTCCTGCTCTGACACATATATCAATGACATGATGATTCTTACTGTAGCAGGGTTGTTAATGATTGTTCCGTTTATTTGTATACTCATCTCATACATCCTTATTACTGGTGAAGTCCTGAAAGTTCCATCCACTAAGGGAAAATGGAAAGCTTTCTCCACCTGTGGGTCCCACTTGGTTGTGGTTTCCCTCTTCTATGGCACCATTATTGCTGTATATTTCAACCCTTCATCCTCCCATTCACCTGAGACAGACACCCCAGCCACTCTGCTGTACACAGTGGTGACCCCCATGCTGAACCCTTTCATCTATAGCCTCAGGAACAAGGACTTGAAAAGGGCTCTAAGGAAAGTGATTGGCAGAAAGAGGTTTTACGCTTGATAAAAATATTATTTCCAAGTACAGTTACTTTTTATTTATGAGTTTTTCTGTCAAAGTCGGTAGGAAAACATATTTGTAAGGGTACATGGAAGAGTATTACTTGTCAGTAAATTGGGATTTACCTGTAACCCTGCTGTATATATCAAGTAATGGAACATGCTTTTGGTAACTATGAAATTATTTTACACCCAGAGTTTCACTTTTTAGGTTATCTGTTTGGAAACATGTAAGTTCAAGATGTATAGTACACCACTATTTTTGAACATTAGAATTGTATGTTGTTGTTAGGTACCACTGACTTGACCACAAGTCATAGTGACCCAGTGAACAACAGACCTGAACTTTGCCCTGTCCTGCTCTATCCTCATGATCTCTGTGTCATAGTCACTGTGTCAATTTATTTCAATGAAAGTCTTCCTCTCTTTCTCTGATCCTTCTCTTTTCCCAGAATGAGTGGTTTCCAAAGACTGGTTTCTCCTGACAACAGGCCAAAGTATATGAGATGAAATTTCACCCTCTAAGAAGTACCTTTTTGGTTGCATTTCCTTCAAGATAGACTTATTTTTTGGTTGTTTTTTTTTTCAAAGTCCATGGGATATTCAGTCCTCTCCTCCAACACAAAATTCCTTTTTTGTCTTCTTCATTTATTGTACAACTTTCAGATTCACAGGAAGCAATTGAAAACACCCTAGTGTGGATAGTCATGCCTCCATGTTTAAGCTGTGGAGAGATCCTTGACAACAATTTTTTCCAACATAACACATCTTTTGATTTCTTTACTACTGCTGCTATGAGTGTTAACTGTGGATCCAAGTAAAATGAAAAAATTGACAACTTCAGTCTTTTCTCCATGTATCATGATGTTGTCTATTGGTTCAGCAGTGAGGAGCTTTGTTTTATTGATATTAAGATGTAATCCATATTGAAGACTGTCTTAGATCTTCTGCAAGCAAGGTTATATCATCTGCATAATTCATATTGTTGATGAATCTTCCTCCAGTCCTGAAGCTACATTCTTCTTCACATAATCCAGCTTCTCACATGATTTACTCAGCATATAGATTGACAGAGTATAGACAGAGGATACAACCCTGATACACCCTTTTCCTGGTTTTAAACCATTCAGTATTTCCAAGAAACAACTGTTTCTTGGTCTATAGGTTTGGCATGAGCATAATGAAATGTTTTGGGTTTCCCATTCTTCTCCATGTTAGGTGTAATTTTTTTATTATCCACACTGTGAAATGCCTTTGCACAGTTACTAAAACCCAAGGAAACATCTTTCTTGTTTTCAGCCAAGGTCCTTATGACAACGGTGATGATATTGCATGACCTCTTCCAGATCCAGCTTGAATTTCTAGCAGTTCCCTGTCAATGTACTGTTCCATTTAAATAATATTCAGTAATATTTTATTTCCATGTGTTATTAATTATATTGTTGAATAATTTTCTCATTCTGTTGGATCACCTTTTCTTTTTTTGGTAATGGGAACAAATATGGATCTCTTCTTGCCAACTGGCCAAATGTCTGTCTTTCAAATTTCTTGGTGTAGGCTGATGAGCAGGTCTAGGGCTGCATTTGTTTCTTGAAAAATGTCAATTTGCATTCCATCAAATCGTAGACCTTATTTTTTAATGCAGCTTGAACTTCTTCCTTCATTACCATTGGTTCTTACTACTTCCTGAAATAGGTCAGATTACTTAATTCTTGTTGGTATAGTGACTCTGTGTATTCCTTCACTTTGTAAAAAAATGCTTCCTTTATTATTCAAGATTGTAAAGATTGAAACTATCAACAACTTCATTTTACTTGGATTCACAATTAACCCCCTTAGTATGGGCAGTCAGGAAATGAGGAGACGTATTGCACTGGGAAAGTCTGCAGTTAGGGTCTTTTCCATATTATTGAGGAGTAATTATGTAAGTTTGAGGGCAAAGGTGTAGCTGATTCAGGTTATGGTCTTTTCTAATCACGTGTTACGCATCTGAGAGCTGGACAATGAACAAGGATGAAAGAAGAAGAAGAATCGATGTCTTTGAGCTGTGGTGTTAGAGAAGAGCATTGAACATCCCATGGACTGGCTAAACAACAAACAGGCATATCTTGGAGTGGGTGCAGCCAGAGTGGTCTTTGGAGGCAAAGATGATGAGGCTTTACAAGCTTTGGCCATCAGCAATCAGATTTAAGCATTCATTTAAGCAATCAGATCAAGGGCAGGAATATGGGACATGGATGTTGAAGGGAGTGGGTAAAAGTGGAAGGGTATCCTGGTGGATGGTGGAACAGGGAAATAAGTGAGTAAAGACACATGTGCCAAGGGCAGGGACAACACTAATATGAATGGTTAACCCCACAATAAGGCATATATCTTTCACTTTTCTGTAAAACGCTGGTCTGTCTGATACTTCTCTAAATCTGAACATTCAGATTAAGACAGACTAGGAAGAAGGATTGGCCATCCACTTCTGAAATAGCAGGCCTCTG